CTTGACTTAAAAAATCCAGATAAGTAGTGGCATGAAGGCCAAATATGATGAATCTTTTCTCAAACTGCCTGAAGGCAGATGGAGCAGCAACCACCCCAAAGCTCAGGATATCCTGAGTCTGCTTTGCCATTACGACTACTTTTGTGGCCAGGTTTATGTTTTATGGAGCACTACCTTAAACTTTGGACTTTACCTAAGATAACTCCAAGGAAACTTCAAGGATTTACAGTCCTCTTGTTTAAGGAATGAGACAAAGAGGAAGAGTGGGAGTCTTCTAATAATTAACCAATATATTTACATTCACAGGTTAATAAAAAAAGAACTTCATTTATAATTTACAAAGAATTAAGTTAACCACTTGTCAGTTAGACCTACTAAAATATTTTGTTTTCATAATATAGAAAGCTGATAAGTAAAGCTTTATTTTACTAATACTTCCTTATTTGCTTTTAAATCCTTTGGAAGTTTATAACCATGGTACATATTTATGCAAACAATTCACTCGACCTCATTCCGGCAGTTTCACTCTTTTTACCTTTTACTCTTTGCAAAGCTAATACTCTAATTTTCAGCATGAAATATCTCAACAGGTTCGTTTCTATTTAAGTGTGTTCCACTTTTTTTATTATCAAATGATGCAAGTTAAATTATAACTTGTATGTTAGTCCTAAATAAATTTCATTTAGTTATTAACAAAGTGACTCATCAAATTAAATTCATGTTCTATTTTGTCCAGTCCCTTTACAACAGTGTAAGGGAAACTTTGCCTCTCCTTGTCTTCTCTATTTTTCCTTCCTCCCTTTCTTCCTTCCTCCCTTCTGTTTCTTTCCCTCCCTTCTTTCTTTCCTGCCAAAATGCCTGTTGAGCATCTTCTCTAGCCAGGATTTGTGGAAACTAAAATAAATATCATATGGTTGATATCAAGAAGGAGATCAATGAGCAGATAATTAACCCTCATTAAGATGTGCTTATGATGGGAACACAGGTCTGAATGCTGCCACTCAGCCCAGGGAAGCCTCTCTGTGCAAGCCCCTCCCTCACCCAACGCTGGGTTATCACTTTCAAAAGATTGCCTCCCTAGTCTTGAGGCACATTCTGAAACCTAGTCATTTCAGTCAATTGACAAATGCATCAAATCTAATAGGATCAGCCCAACCTTTTTTTGTTATGTCACATCATCCCTTTGTAAGACCTCCTAGAAAAAAAAAAATGTGAAAAATTGAGGAAGGAAAAGTGAAAATTTTTCCTCTGGCTCTTTCTACCTTACATGCATGTAACAAAAGGGTTTTAGAAAATTGATCAGATTTAAACACTTCTTACATATTCTGAAGTCAAGTATTTGTATGGAAAGTCAGTTTTCTTCTAGTGTTAAGGAAGTTTGTGAAATAAAATTTAAATATGTCTTTAAAACTTTCTTCCCTGATATCTTAATCACCTTTTCAAGTTGTGAGTGGCTAGAGATGCCTGGATTTTACATCAGCATAGTGTGATATAATCGCAATCAGGCCATCACCTCACAGTGCCACTCCCCATGACTATCCTGGAGAAAGAATGTCCTTGTTGTAATGCTGCAAGGGGCAAATGGAAGCCTATCACAAAAGTCTTAGTGTCATGTTTTTGCTCCAAAATATGCTGACTACCATGTGCTTATGCTGTATTGACTATGTGAGACGGTGTCTCTATTGCTACCCAAAACTATGTTCACCCACAAATATGAACACTGACACATTGTGCCAGAAACAACTCACCAGCACAAACTATTCATTGTGCCAGAAACTACTCATCCAACTTTTCTACTTAGACGTAGACCTTCTGCAGTTTTTATTTGGTGAGTGCTTTATCTAAAGGAAGGGAATACTTCATTCAAGAAAGAGATATTTCTCAAAAACATTAAAGGAAAAAATCTACACATGTAAAGTAGACACGCCCCACTGTGCTTTATCACAGATTTAAATTAGACCCTACAGAGACTTTGCTAACACTGAATCTTAATTGAGGATGTTTATGAAACCACCAGACTGACATCTGAACTCTCCTTTCTGGAGCCAACAGTTTCTGAAAAGAAAGAAGTCATTGCTTACACAATGATGCGCTTAGTGTATTACCTGGCTTGAATAAACTGGAGGTGTGGTCTGCACGTTGTTTTGGTTTATCAAAATAGTTCCCTAAATAAGGAAAGTCCCAAAGGCATCATTGACTCAACACTCCCCTGGCAGATGATGCCTCTAATCTAGTTCAGATAAAGAGAGTGAAGGAGAGCAGTTACACTTGGCACCACCCTTGCAAGGCAGGTGGAGGAGAAAGCCGAAACTGTCGTTCCTACCATAGGAGAAGTTACTACTTGGCATGCCAGTGTCGTCAGTCTTGCACTGGACGACAAAGAAGTGGTAGAGGTCAGATTTCAAATACTTCCTCAATTATTGGCGTGACCTCATTCATCTTCCCTTGGCAGCCCTTGCAGTATATCTGTAGGCAGAGGAACAAGGCAGATATTCAGTCGGGTGGAAAGGCATTGAGAACCAGTGACCAAGTACCTACCTGCGTGAGCATTTGCTGCCCTTTGGTCTGAATGCTTCCCTCCTTTCCTCTCCTTTTGCCCTTCATTTTCTTGGGAATAACTATTACTCAACCTTGAAGATCTAATTAGACACCACCTTTGCCAGAAAATATCCTTATGTCAGATTCACTAGTTCTCCTCACCACCATCCCCTGTTCCCATCACTTCTTACAGCAGCTTCACCCTTGGGTGGACATGCACCCTCTGAATCTTCCTTAAATTGTCATTACTCAGCATTCATGACTACTCCAGCCACTGTTTGAACATTTGTCCGAGAAGCAAATTTACAGAGAAGCAAGAGAGGTAATTATGAGGAGAGATGGAAAATTGTCAGAGAAATTGACTTGAAAGACCAAATCAACCTACTATGAAATCATGTATAGATTTGAGCAGGAGAGGATTAATGCCAAGTTGGTAGAAGATGGACATAGTTCAGACAGGGCTCACATAGTTCAGTCTCTTGGAAGCAATAAAGGAATTAGAACAAGATTAATCTCCACAAGAGAAAGTCTTTGAGCTTGAATGTGTGTGTGAGTGTGTGTGCACACGTGTACATGTGTGAATCTTTATCTGTGTATACCGCATAGCCATTGTTTTGTAAACAAGTCTACCTGTTGCCATCGACATGTTTCCTTTCGCTTTTGAGAGAAATTTTCTTAGCATGCCAACACTGGCACTATTTCAAATGAGATAATCCCAGCAGAATAATTTACCTTGTCACTCCCAAACCTAGATACTGTTCCAAGTTTTAAAGTAATTATTTCTGTCTTTCTCTCAAAGGTGGTGAGGCCATTTTACTAATTACCAAACTAATCAAAAATCAGATGCTCAAGAAGTCTGTTACTCATGGTATTGACACTTTTAATAGATTCAGAAAGCTCCTACTCAAGATGTAAGCAGACATCATTCCTGCTCAGACATGATAAACTAGGTCACAGAGACCGAATGAGATTGTCTGATGCCTTTATATCTAATGCAAGGAGGCCAACTTCAAAATAGATATGGACGGATGTGGTTCCTGACTTAAAAGAGCATGATCTAATCAAATTGCTTGTGAAATATTACTCTCACATTTTCGCATATCAAAGATCGCCAAATTTTTTCTAGAAAGAGCCCAACAGTCAATATTTTCAGCTTTCGGAGCCTTCCTATTGCTGCCACACTCCACTCCGCCATGAACATACCGACAGAAAACATACAAAGGGGGAGTTTTCATGCCTGTGACTGTTTCAATAACAGGCAGAAGATTTGCTGACCACTTTACAGTTGATATAGTAGGAGGCTAAGAAAAGTTTTATAATGCTGTGGGCTTTCAAATGCCTATTGTAAATTTTTTATGGTGCAAGAATATCTAGCAGGGGAAAATTTTTGTTCTGGATCCAATCTGAACTTTTCCTCTTCCTCAGAAATATTTATGTGATACCGGGCACGTTAGTTAACTGTCTGGACCTTGATTTCCTTCTCAATCATACAGGTTTGCAAGGATACCTATTTTCATTTGGTTGTTGTGCAATTAAATAAAATGTGTTGGGCTCAGAGCACAGCTGCTCAATGATGTTATCTAGTCCATGCATTTACATTGTCTTGGAAAATACCACTGTTGTCACCAAGAGAGCCCAGCATGATGAACTGCTCTGAATTTACGCTACGCTACGTGGGGCTGGCCCCACCCGTTATACAGTTCAGCTCTTCAGAATTTCCATCCCCTGACTATCTCCTTCAGGATTTCACAAGTTTTAAGAAATAAATTTAATGACAGCTTCCTTATCTAATTATCTCTCCTAATGATAAAAATTCAGATAACTGCCAATAAACTTTTACATAGGAAAAGAAACAGATATCTTTTATATGTTTTTTTTTTTAACTATGTCACATTTTAATGCTCTTTTCCTGGGAACAAGCATACTTTTGCTTTTGATATTTGGATGATTAGTGTAGTATGTGACATTCACAAAATGCTTAATAAATGTCTGTTAAAGGAATATTGGTAACTGAATGGCATGAATTAAGGAAACTAAATAAATCACCTGCCTAAGGTGTTTCTGGGAACCATGATACCCTATTCTTAGATATAGACTCTTCTAAGGACAGGAGTATTCTCCAAGAAAAGAATTGTTTTCTCTAGCTCCTTTGTAGTGATGGCTAAAAGTCAATATAGACCTTATTCTATACATTCAGTAGGACAAGAGATGTAAGTAGGCTTTTCTATCATCTAACTAAAATTTGGTTTCATGCCTTACGCAGTGGTAGAGACTTAATCAGTCATTTCCAGTTTCCTTTTCTTGTCCCATCATGCCCATGTCTAAGGCATTGAGAGGTCTGCAGTTCCTCTAGTCGTTGGACATCACAGGTCCAACCTGAGCAATCTATTATCCTGCCTGGCTGTAGTCTTCAGGCACCCAGGTCCATGTGGCAGGTCCTCACTGCCACTGGGGAAGTTCCTCTGGTACTGTTCTTTCTGCCGCTGATCCTCTCAGACTCCCAGGCTGTACTCTGTGTTCTGCAGTCTTCCTTCCCCTGAGACAGTAGACAAGAAAGTCTTTGGTGATAAACAAAGGCAGGACAAGGGATACTAGGAAATGTAGTCGAAACAAATGCACAAATAACTGGAATAAATGTGGTGGTCTACAAACAAAACTAGTTAATATTTCAAAATAATTCTGCCACAAGGATTATGCCAATTAAGCTGACTTGACCAGGGGCATATATACCTGTGTACAAGCAGCCTACCTCACTCCTAAGGTCCACAATTAGACCCAAGACTAGACAACAGTGGAAAATGACTCATCTTGCCTTAAGAAAAAAATAACACAACTTGCAACCATTAAGAGTAAAAGTAAACATAGCTGCTTCAATGGCCAATGAGTCCTGGGTAGAAAATAATAAGCTGAGGCTCAACGCTGGTGGAGGCAGATGCTAGAGAAGAGATTAATGATTTAGGCATGGAATAGAATAAATTCTTTTTAATATTTTCCCAAATGCAGAAGTTCTGCAATTCCTTATGAAGTGTGTGTGTGTGTGTGTGTGTGTGTGTGAGAGAGAGAGAGAGAGAGAGAGAGAGAGAGACAAAGAGACAGAGAGAGAGCTTCCTATATGATACTGTGGTGTTAAGTCCCACCAGGTCTGCTCTGTTGCTATGTTGTGTGAGGACAGGTGAAGCTCTTCATCTCCATGGCCTGTGTCCTCCTCCCTACAATTGAGATAACAATGTTCACCTTTATGTGTTTGTGAGAAAGATTAAATTAGGTAAAACACTTAGCAGATTGAATTAGATAAAACACTTAGCAGGATGATGGATGCATTGTAAGTACTCAGTAACAAATAGATTAATCTTGATAGAAATGCTTACCTAGATGTAACTTTTGTTCTCCTAAAACCTTTTAATGTTCCCATTTCCTGGTTTCTAGAAGCAGTACATTTCTTTGAAAAGTATATTAATTATGACAGTCGTGTCTGAATTTCCAGAGTTCTGGCTCCTTCATATATCCGTGAGTCAGATAGAAGAAACCCCAGATAAGGGACCAAGCACACAGCTGATGGCTAGCAGAGCCTTCATCTGAAATCAGATCCTTTGGTTCCAGAGCTCTGTCATTAATCCTTTGCAACTCCTGCTGCTGCTGAGTTATGTATTCAAGTCTAAATTCTTCATAGAAACAGAACCAACAGGGTATGAGAGAAAGAGGGGAAGGTGTGTACAGAGAGACTCATGTTAAGGAATTGACTCGCAACTGTGGCTGCTTGATAAATCCATATTTGCAGGTTAGGTGGGCAGATTGGAGACCCAGGAAGGGTTTCAGTTCAACTCCAAAGACCACACACTGGCAGAATTCCTTCATGTTTCAAAGAGGTGGGTCTTTGTCCTAGCGAAGACTTTAATTGACTTGACAAAGTCAATTATGGAAGGTAGTATGTCTACTGGCATTATGGAAGGTAGTATGTCTACTCAAAGTCCAAAAAGCATTTTCACAGAAATATCCAGAATAACATTTGAACAACTTTCTGAGCACCCTGTGGTCCAGCCAAGTTGACACATAAAATTAACCATCCTGTTGTGATTCTCTACAGAAACACATTCTAGCTTCCCACATTCTAGCAATCAGGTAATATCAAGTAAGTTGATTTTGAAAACAGTTGTTGAGATTCTAAAATCAAAAACAGTGTATAATTTAACCCAGCTTTTCTACTTCCTTCTTCTCCACCCCCTATTCCCTTTTCTCTCCTCCTGCTTCTCCCCTCCCCTTTTCTCAGAAAAGAAGGAAGTTGGTGAGAGAGACAAAGATGTTTCAACAGCAGTGGTTTTGTAATGTGATACCACAACTTGTTGCAACACTATTATGCCTGAGGCAAACGTGTCCAAAAGACAGAATCCATTTTATGTGCACACAGACTATAATAATTCAGCACTTATATATGTTAGAACTTTGATATCTTTATATAGTTCTCTTACTTTTCAGGTAGGTAAATTTCAAAATGAAACAGAGCTTTAAGAACAAAAGTTTGGCTTCCAGTTTCCTATGAGTAAAGTTGAAAACACATTCACATATGGTTATTTACATGACAGCCTTGTGCTAAGGGGTTAGAGGATCTCAGCCAGTTACAACCACTATCTTCAGAGTCCCTTCAGCCAGTATTTCCTTTGCCTGTTTAGATATGGACAAGAAGCAATGTCCACTTCTCCATGTGGAATGCCACAGACCTAGAACAACACATGCAGAAAGAAGGCTACCTATTCAAATATCTGTGACAATTATAACTCAGCTGATCTGAGTTATAATCATATTTAAAACAAATGTTCCTGGCCCTCCCTGGTGGCGCAGCGGGTTAAAGCACAGCACTAAGAAGCTAAAGCCACTTCCGCATGAGTTCGATCCCCACCTGCCCCGGAGGTGACCATATGGCGTGGCAGACCTCTCCTGACACGCTCACTGCTCCCTTTAGCAGTGTACTTCATCAATCTGCCTGTTCTGCTCCCCACTCTGCCTCTGGTGAAGCCTCTCGCCGCCTCTGAACCTCTGGCCTGTACCTCAGTTCTGTATGCACAAATAAATCTTTAAAAAAAATAAAATAAAATAAATAAATAATAAAACAAATGTTCCTAACTGAGATGGAAAAAGACACAAAATGATGTAAAAATAAACTATTGTATTATTTTTTAAAAAGTTCCTGTTGCGGCCCTCCCTGGTGGCGCAGCGGGTTAAAGCATAGCACTGAGAATCTAAAGCCGCTTCCTCATGGGTTCGATTCCCGCCTGCCCCGGAGGTGACCACATGGCGTGGCAGACCTCTCCTGGCCCGCCCGCTGCTCCCCTCAGCAGTGTATTTCGTTGATCTGCCTGTTCTGCACTCCACTCTGTCTCTGGTGAATTCTCTCACCCTCCGCATCTCTGGCCTGTATCCCAGTTCTGTATGCACAAATAAAATAAAATCTTTAAAAAAAAAAAAAAAAAGTTCCTGTTGAAAAAGTAAAAAATAAATCCCTAACTTAAAATCAAATTAAAAGTACAACTGCTAATTTTTACATTAGAAGGCACTAAAAATCAAAGTTGACTTAATTTACAAAAAGTACTTTCAAAATGAATTTTTTTAAGATCATCGAAAACAAGAAACTGATCAAATGGTACATGAGCAAACAAATTGTGGTACTGTCATATAATAGAATGCTACTTAGCAATAAAAAAGAACAACAGGGCCTCCTTGGTGGCCTAGGGGTTAATTCTCAGCACTATCACCTTTATGGCCTGAGTCTGATCCCCAGCCAGGGAGCTGACCCACATATGGAACAGCAGACCTCTCCTGTCTCACCCACTGCTCCCCAGAGCAGTATATTTCAGTAAGTCCGTCTCTTTTGCTCCCCAATCTGTCTCTGGTGAATCCTCTTACCCTGTGCAACTCTAGCTTATGCCCAGTTCATCTAAGCAATTTTTTTTAATATCAAAAAAAAAACTACAAGAAATATGGGTAAATCTCAAAAGCATTAGGCTAAGTGAGAGTAGCCAGACTCAAATGCTCTACACTGTACAATTCTATTTATGTGATTTTCTGGAAAAGGAAAAATATTGGAATAGAAATCATATCAGTGATGGCAAGAGACTAAAACTGAGAGGAGAGAATGATCACAAAGGGTATGAGACTAAAACTGAGAGGAGAGAATGATCACAAAGGGTATGATGGATTTAGGTATCTTGATTGTGGTGGTGATACATGACTATATGTGTTTGATATAATTACAACAGCAAAACAGTAAATTTACTACTTAGAAATTATGTGTCAATCAACATGATTTCTAAAATATTTCTATATGATAAAGCAAACATCTAGAAAGAGAGAAGAAGAACTCCTGGGAAATTGTTTTAGATGGAAAAGAGCAGCAATTATGAAAGCCTTTCTCTACCGGAGCTCAGTTCTACAGCAAATTAAGAACCCCGAAAAGGAGGAAGATGAGGAGCAACAGGTTTCAAACCTATTTCCAACTCTAGATATTTCTACAGAGATGTGCCAGTGCTTTGGTTTATTTATCAAAACTCTCACTGTTTAAGATTGAAAGCATAAAAGTAAGGTTCAGTGCTTTGGTTTATTTACCAAAAACTCTTCACTACTTAAGAGTGAAGGCATAAGAGTTAGGCAGGGTCAACCTTCCTCATGCATGAAGATGCTGTAGCAGCGATCCCCTCCCCAGAAGAGGAGACTCATTCCAATACCAACTGTCGTGCTTTCTTCATGAGGACACCAGATGGACACCAATTGAGTAGTAGTTTGGTTTCCCTTTTTCTGTTTCTGGACTGCACTGCAGGAAGGCATACAAGGGAGACCAAAAAAAGACAGGTTTCTAATTGCCTTGGAGAGCTGGGAAAAAAAAAAAATAGACATGGGGGGGGGGACAGGGGGGGAGGGGGCAAAACTGGGGGGGGGGGGTTGCCAGAATAAGTTAGCAAGGGAGATTCAGGGACTTTCTGTGTTACTAAAAGTGCTAACCAAAGTTGCCTCGGGATTCAAAGGTGCAATGGTTAGTAGAAAGAGTTAAATCCTAATTGTCTTAAGGTGAGGGTAGTAAAATAAACGTGTTGATGGGATGAAAAGAGGGAGCTGAAAGAGAGATAAGAACATCTAGGTCTTTATAGATGGAAGGGAACACCTTAAAGTGCATCTTGGTGACTCGAATGACTGGATTATCTCCAGCATAAAATTCCTACTGCCAAGCTTGCCCCTGATTTGTTAGGGTTTTGTATGTTTTCTTCTCTGTAAAATAGGGTCATTAATCCAAGCTGTGCATTCTCCTCACAGGAGATGTAGTCAAACCATTTGTGCAGTGCTGACATACTGCTGACTTGCACTGGGACTGCAGAATGTACCTAGCTTTGAAATCCTAGGCAAAATACAACACAATCATTATCACTGAGGTTGTTAATCACCTTGGTCTACATTTTCTACAAGCTGCAGCTCCCTACCTTTTCCAAGCCATGGGCTCATTTCTTCCCACAGTCGAGACTATTCATTCTGTTTACCTGGGTCAATCAAACAATGAGCCTTTGAGCACTGTGCAGGGGTGCTAGTTGGGAGGTGAATCCTCTCCCCCTGTCAAAAATATGTGTGTAACTTAGAGTTCCATGTATGTGGGTTATATATCCACAGATTCCATCAATATTAGATGCCACTGGTCAAATTGGTCGAATCCACCATGCTTCTAATTTGTGCATTTCTAGATATTCCACTGGCACTGGGAAATTGTTAAATAATTTAGGAAAAGTGTTGAGAAGATCCTTCTGTTTTATTGTGACTTTAGTTAAAAATAAGTATGCTATTAATGGTTTGTCTTTATAGATGATTTATTTTTGTATGTAGTATCACGTCAGAATATCTCAGTTTTAGTTTCTAGCCTTTTTTTTTTCCTACAGACAGTCAAGGAGCTGTTGCTATATATTACTAATAACAAGTTCAGTGTCACTCCTGAGTCTTTGTTCCACAGAAAAAGCAGATTCCTTTCTCACCTACTTGTTCTGTAAAATGAGGGGTTTTTTGGTAAGGAGAGGATATGCCTCTTACCAGTATTTTGCTTTGAAAGCATTTAAATTCCATTAAAACCACAAAGCACAGTGTTTGTGGTGATTCCATTCTTGTAATAGAGAAACAGAAATAAACACCTCGGGCCTTTGATACAATGTTTAACTGACAACACATTTAAAGATTTTACCAAAGTGTATCCAGAAAAAAGTGTGTGGGAAAAGCTGCCCTAAGCCTGACTCCAAACTTCACAGATACCCCAACTTTGCTCTGTTCTCTGCAAGACACTGCTAAGGCTTGGTGTTACTAAGAACAGAAAGAAATGAGCTTGTCTGGGACATCGGGTGGATGTGAGGGAGGCAGCACTAGTGTCACCTGCCATCTCGGGCTCCCCCGGGTTCTAGAAACCTCCTAACCTGGGACAACGGGGATTCAGGAAGAGGAACTCTAGCCCTGCAGAATAAAAGCCTTGGCGGTCTGTTTACCTCACTGTAGCTGACAGCAGCCGAAACGACTTCTCTACTGTTCTCCAGGCACCGGCAGGGCTGGGCTCCTTCTGGCACCAAGGGAGGGTCTGTAAAAAAAAAAAAAAAAAAAGAAGGAAAAAAGGGTGTGGGGAGCAGGGAGAGTAAGGGGAGGCGGGGCATGTCTTCCATACCTGTGGCTCCAGGAACAAGGAAAGGCTAAGAGGCTTTCAGGAGAAGTACATTTGCAGCCAAAGTAATAAAAGGGCAGTTCAGTACCTAAACCCGACAGCCTCATGTCCATAGAGTGACTCAACTTGACGTCAGTTCTGGGGGCAAAGTAAAATAAATTATATCTTTCTTGTGTGATATCTCTAATTTCTTAACCAATCACCTCAACATAATAGCATAGAAATGGTTAAGCAGAAACCTCCAGGTTGGCTGCCTTTGGCGCTGTGGATATGAGAGCTAATGACTCAGAACAGGGTCTGAACTCTCTCAGGGGTTCATGTCTCCCTGGCTCGCCCTGCAGTTGGCACAGATAATGAAGCATGGGCTGAAATAATCATTACGATAACGTGGTAGAAAAGTCCATATCTCTCTGCGTGATCACCCATGTGGTAGGACAGGGACTGGGCATTCAATTGGTGATGGCTCTGATGCAGATTTTAATGATTCTATAAATAATTAAATTGCACACATTCCAAAGTGAAAACTTATAGACAGAATTTAAGATTTGTTTTTCTTTTATCCATTCTCTCTTTTTCTTTTTCTCCTCTTCCCTCTCCTCTTCTTTCTCCTTCACCTCTTCCTCCTCCTGTCTTTTATACATTGCAGAGGCACCATAAACATCTTCCCATATTGACTTACTGTCTGGGAAGAAGCTTAGCAAACATTTTCTCAAATCTTCCACTTGTGGCATAGTCAAGAGAGTTAGAATAAAAAAGCTTAGACTTTAGTCTAAATCCTTTGACCTAGTAGGTATATTTCAATCTTTTAAAATATTTTTCTGATCTGCAAACTAGAATTGTGGCCTGGCAGATTCAGCTCTCCTGACTCTCAGCCCAGTGTTCCTGTGCTTGCTCCAAGATCCTATTGTCATCTTCCTGTTTGCCTCCATAATCCCCCACCACCACCAGATGTCTCCCAGCTCTCTGCCTTGCATCATCTGATTCTCCTCCATACCCATCCCAGAGATATCAGAGGGTAGCAATTCAAGTCCCAGAAAAGTCACTGAAATTTAGCTTTGACAAGTTCATACTAAAATTAACATGATCCTCTACAAATATCAAATTAAATCACAATCCAACAGTTACAGTTTGCCACCTCTATCTCATGTCCCACCCTGTAGAAGGTCAACACCTCCTTATACTTGCAATCTCAGCACCAATGTCCCTAGAGAAGACCTCTTGGACTGCTGGCTAATGCCATCCCCCTACTCGAAGACCATGTGGAATATTGTCTTTGCAAGCCATTTTGTCAATTAAAGATGCTTGGTCCCCTTTGGTTCTGCCATTGCTTACTACTCTACTCTCCTGTTTGGAAAATCTGGAAACATCTCTTTTTGGCTCCACTAGATCTTCATAGTCTTGCTTATAGTTCTGCACAGGATATGTCTTCAGTATAAGGGTGAGAGTTCTCCTATGAGTGCTCTAACAATATCCATCATTGATTGAGAGGACAGCACATGCTGAGTGTCACAGTCTGGTTGTCTGGGTTCTCCCTCCACACAATTCATATATTGAAAGCCAATCCCCAATGTTATTGCATTAGGGGTGTGGCCTTTGAGGCCATTGGGTCATGGAGAGCCCTCATTTATGAATTTGTGTCCTTATGTAAGAGATGCCACAGAGCTCCATCCTGCATGTGAGAAGATAGTTAAAAATGGCCTTGTGTGAACCAAAAGCTGGGTGTTCACCCATCACACCCAGTCTTCTAACATCTTAATCTTGAACTTCTTAGACTCCATGTTCTCAAAAAAGCATCACATAGAACTTGGTTTCTTTAATGAACAAACCTCTTAGATGGTACCACTAACTAATGAAACTAACAAGAAGGAACATCTAGCTCAGCATCCAGAATTAGAAAAGTCTTCCAAAAGGAGGTGGTAACAATGACACCCCCATAGAGCTCATTAAAACTGCTGCTAAAACCAAACTGAAGTAGTTGACCTTCTCTGATAACTTAGCAAATCAGTAGGTATATACCAGGTATACCTGGTAGGTAGGTAGATGATTGAAAGATGATAGATAGATAGATAGATAGATAGATAGATAGATAGATAGATAGATAGATAGATAGATAAAGACAGAGAGACAGACAGACAGATATGATTACACAATTGATATTTTCTGAGACTTTATTATCCATGGTAAATATGAGTAAGCATTACATACAACCATCTGGACTAGATTTGGACCAAGCTAATAGACTATAGAAGATGTGAGGATATTTTTCTTTCTCTTTCCTCCCCATCTTTGAGCCACCCCCAATTGTAGCTCCTTGGAAACCAAGAATTGTCCCCTTCTGGCTCCTTTAAGATACTGATGCCAATCTGTGAAGCACATTTAGCAGTATAAGAGCCCCAACGATGTGGACGCTCTTATCTGCTGTCATACAATCACACTGTAGGCCTGTCCTTTAATCGAACTACAAAACAGCCACATTGTGCCCTGATATGAAAAGTCATATTTATTTTCACTCTGGACACTAGTTCTGTGAAATCATGCAAGTGAATGCTGCTGTCATCCCATTTGGACTTAAGTCAGCTGAGTTGGAAGAGATTTTATGTTTGTTTGATTTTTTAAAAGAAAAAGAGATTAGTGAATACATGTCTGTTTGAAAGCAAATTCCTTTTTTGATCCAAACACCAGCTCTGTGTCCCTCCTGTCAGCTTGTGAGCCCTGACCTATGGGTGAGGCTATGTGATAATAAAAGCTTTATTTAAAGGAGCATCAGAGGTAAAACTCTACAATTCCCTCATCTCACAAATGCACATTTTTCTTTTCCTTTTATGCTTTTGTGTGACATCTTTTGGGAAGCTGTTTTCTCATTCAAACCACCCCTACTGGGGCAGGCTCCCTGGAAGAGCTGCAGGTGTCCCCTGGCCACAGCTTACAAAGCCTGCTTGTTAATCAGTCCAATCACGTGTCTTTTGACCCCCTTCCTACCCTGCTCTCTCCACATCTCTTCCAGCCAGTCACCACCACTACTCTAAAAGGGGAAAACTGAACAACCAGTCAAAAGAGCTATTATCCTAAAGACTGCTTAACAAGGCCTGGGGCTTTCCAGTAAATTAGTTCAAGCTTATGCTCCCCTCCCCCTTTCTAAACTTGCTGCCTCCCTGCCCCCATTCATTGGTCACTGTAGAGCTTGTTGACCCTGCTACATTCGGTGGCCACTGCACATTTTACCAAGTGTCCCTCCCAGAGACTCCCAGCCAGTGCTCTACCAGAACCAGCTGGAAATGTCAATCCATAATCACATCATCCTGATTCCACAAAGTGCAACAATGGTGACCTTGCGTGAAATGCCATCTTGGAGTTGAAACAGGAGATCTAGAAGACAGTCTTTCCTCCCATCTTCTCTACTTGACTCATCTGACTAGGTCTTCCCATGTCACTTAACTGAGATGCAAAATGAGAATGGTATTTCTATGACACTCTGACTTGGTGAGAAGTAGTTTGCTATTAAGAGTCAATGTTTATAGAAGCGCTAGGGCTGGCATAGGTGGTTTACAGAAATCTATGCCCAATGTGTACTGTGGGCCTGAAGATGAAGGAAGACTGGGCATATCTGCAGACAGCATTGGTCTGGTCACTGAGTTCACGCTCTCTCACAAACCTGAAAGGGAAAGCAGGTCAGCGTTTTTGTTTTACCATGTGTTATACCAGAGAGAGAAAAGAGAAATTTCTCCAATGTTATGTGTAGCAAAATAGGGTTTTACTCATGGAAAGGATCAATGCTGGTTATTACTATTGAACTGTTCCTAAGTGTTTGAAAGATCCTTTTATCCTATATTTTATGGTATATATACAATGAGAACCCTCAGGAAAGAAAAGAAGGGGAGGGAAATGTCCATACCATTTCAAGAATGAATAAGCAAGAGGAAACACTTTGTTTTTCAACAGGTTTCTAAAATTTTACCACAAATGGAAAAGTGATGTATTCTTTTGTGATAAATAGAAACCTTTTCCCATGAGCAATCCTCAAGGGAAAATTGATTTAAAGCACTGGCTTACCTTTATAAGTACAATCCCCAAGATATCACCCATGGAGTACAGTTGTGATGGCTGAGTTTTGGCAAAATGATAATGAAGTCTCAGAGGTACAAAGCTACCTGAAAAGGCTTTCTGGAAGAAGTCAACAAAACAACAGAGAGGTCAGAGTACTTGTAAGCCTACTGAGCTAATAAAACTGAAATCCAAGGTGCCTTGGGGAAGAGAAGGGAAAGGCGATGTTTAGCTATGGGACTGTTGAGCCACAATAAAGCTGGTGATATTTTCTCACCCATGATTTATCAGGCAGCAGTTTCTGTGCTGTGCAGTTTCTATGCCTGCCGTTTCTGTGATTTTATAGAAATACAGATCGATCCCTTTCCTACTGGATTAAAAACTGATGGCCTTTTGAATGACTATGGCTCATTGACCTAAAGATAACATGAGATTTCTCAGACCTGTTTCATTTTTCAAAATCAGACAGTTCATTTACAGAAACATAGATGGTTTCTCTCTCTTTCTCTTTCTTCCCCATCACCTGTCTGTAATTCTATAAACTATATATAACATAAAAATTACCATTTTAACAATTTTTATAAGTATGCTCTATGACCTCAAGCACATCTCCATTGTTGTACAGCCCTCATCGCCACCCCTCTCCAGAGCTTCATCTTCCCAAACTGAAATGGTGCCCACTGCACCCCGCCTCCAGGATCTGGCAGCCACCTTTTACTTTCTCTTGCTATGATTTTGATTACTCTGGGCATTTCATAAAAGTGGAATCATACAGCATTTGTCCTTGTATGACTATCTTATTTCACTGGTAGGTCCTTAAAGATAATCCATGGGTAGTATGTCAGGATTTCCATTCTTTTAAAGACTGAATAATACTC